TCACTGTTGTAGCTTGGTTATGAAGTGTCCCCTCAAAACACCCAGGTATGGAAGGTCTGGTTCCCAGGTAGTACTGCTATTGAGAAGTGACACAACAGTGCTGCTTTAATCAATTGGATTAATCCATTGATTACTAGATTGGGCTATAAGCTGGGGGAAGTAGGTCATCGAAGGTTTGTCTGTGGAGTGTGTATCTGAGTATCTTCTCCCCAGACCCTTCCTCTTGCTCTCTCTGCTTCCTGGCCTACATGAGGTGAGCAGCTTTCCTCCACCATGCTCTTCCGCCATGATGTTTCTGCCTTGCCACAGGTCTAAGAGCTATGGCGCCAGCTGACCTCTAAAACCATAAGCCAAAACAAACTTTTCCTTCTCTAAGTTGGTTTCTCTCAGGTAGTTTTTCTCAGTGATGAAAAATTGATTAATATGCTCACACAATACATAAGAAGGTCAGAACTCAACCTAAGGTTAGTTGGTTAGTGCTCTTCCAACTGTATCAGGTGGCTAGCATTTTGCCCATTATAAAGGAAGAGTCCTTGGGGATGGAGTGACCAGGCTTCTGTATAAAGCTGAGACTTTTGATTACAGAACGGTACAGGCTCTACATCCCTAATTTCCCAGATTCCTATTTCCAGGTTTTGAAGCAAAGTTTGGGCCAATATGCATATTGATGACTAAATTCTAAGCCCATGGATGACAAGGTCAATGCCATTGTCTGCTGATGCAGGTCTTAAAGAATTAAGGTTGGAAAACAAAGCTCTTAGATCCAAACCTAGGTCAATTCTTAGTTCTGAGTAATTCTTGCTCCTAGAGTTCATCCAAGCTCATCTTTGGACACTTGCAACCTATCTGCCTGCCATCCATCTCTGATTAAATGAGCAGATGCTCATGCGCTCATGCTAGAATGAGAGAGAAGCTGGAGGTGCTGATGAAATTCTCATAGTGGTAAGGGGGACCCCAAAGACTTGATGAAAGAGTAACCAGTGTTATGTAAGAAACTGAGCCAAAGTGTTCAGACATCCCTTGGCAGCCAGGATTACATTAGCTATGTGGGGGTATTTTGTAGTAATTGTTATACAGCTGCCACCACAGTTCCTCTTAGGAGTGCAGTCTAATTTAGAATTTAGCTTTTTGGTTTTCTTTAGGTGAAGTATAGTAAGCTCTAAGACACTGGTTTGCAAAAAGACAGCAGGACAAAAGAGGTAGTGGCATTTTTGGGAGTTGGGGGAAAGCAGATAGAAGGAGTGATGATCAGGTAATGGAGAGAGGAAAGGAAGTATGTCTGCGCGAGGAGACTGTGCAGGTGGGTAGCCAATGAGAAGTTGTTGAGTTGTCTGGGAATGGAGGTGGCCAAAGCTAAATCCCAAATCACTGAAAATGCGCTAATGCAATCCCATACCTGCCAGCTTCGGTAGAGCCTGCCCACGAGGTTCTGCAATTGTATGCTAAGGTATGATGGGACCAGGATACTTACTGAGAGAGGAAGCGATGCAGTACAGAAAGAAGAAAAACAGAACCTTTAAAATAGAAGGGTACCTGTAAAGTGAGCCAACTAGGTGGGAATGGAACCCGGGGTTACAGCTGAACTTGACTTTCCCAAAGAACCTGTAAAGAGACTGGAGGCAAGACTGTGTTTCCCTCTGTTTGGGGCATTTCACGGGAATCTTACCTGGCTCTCAGAAGTCAAGGTGATGCCACTTGGTTATAACTGGAAGCATAAGGAAGACATCAAGTTTCACATACAGAATGAATGTGAATACTATGCTGAATGGAATGCCCCTGAAGAAATGATAGATGGAGCAAGCTATCCAGCTCATTTGTCCATTTACTCATTTATTCACTCATCAAACACTGGCAATACCACCTTACATATTAAGAGAATACAGACCTCACCTCTGCCCTTAAACAACTTTCACTTTTGGAACATGAAGGCAAGGGGAATGACATTTATTGAACTCCTGCTGTATGTAGATGCTAAGACATGTGTTTCACATGTACTGTTTTAAAAATTCTCCCAACAGCTTTCTAGGTAATTATTAACCCTAATATACTGACAGGGAAACTGAGGCCCAGAGATGTTAGGAAGCTTGGCTCAACCTGACTCAGCTAATCCATGATAAAAACCAGGATTATCTGGTTCCAAAATTGGAATGGGGGTTTCTATTTTGGTGGGAGGCACTGGAAAACTGGCAATGGGTGAGTCAGGCTTGATAGTGCGACTTGAAAAGCACTCCGTATATTTCTCCATCCAGTCTGCCCTGGAGCCTGACATCCCACTCCGGAGCATCTAGAACTTTTGGCCGGCTTCCTCATCAGTTCCACTCTTAGAAGCTTAACCACCAAGTCAGCAAGCTACATCCCTGCACCACGGAGGAGCTGGCTAGCTCAAGACTTCTGGGTGCTTGCTGAGCAGCTAAGGCCTTGGAATGCTCAGCGAGAGTCTGGGACCCGAATGCTGCTAGAGAATGCGGAGAGCGATGCTGCTCTCTCTTCATGGCAGGTGCATGCCCGGCTGTCTGCTGCAAGTTTGAATCATCCACTGCAATTAGCAAAGGGCATTTCCGCAGGCCTTTTCAATGAGCCCTGTGTCTAGGCTACAAGGATAAAAGTAGAAATCTACCATGTGATCCCATAAACGTAAACACTCCACACCTAATTAAGTAAGAGGGAAATTATCTGCGCCATCGGCTATCGTTGTGATTATTTATTTAAAATGATTTGCTTTAGACATACCCAGAGCCCTTCTCCTTAGAGAGGTATGTAGGAGCTGGGTGGAGACAATGTGGGCACTTGAGAAACAGAAACGAATCGGACTGGCAAGTTGAGAAGCCACCTGGGCCTGGGGTTGGCTGTGGCAGTGGATGGACATCTGTTGTTTTTGTCGTTCAACACCATCTTCTCCCGTTGGGTATATATGCTTCTCTTCTGCTCCAATCCTGTAGATGAGGATGGGCCTGCCAATCAAGGGTTCCTACCCAATCCCCTGGCCACAGGGGTGGGCACATGATTCAGCCTCAGCCAATCATAGTGCCTTATTTGCCTGACCTTTATCTCTTTTGGCAATAAGGTTGAAGGATATTGATGTTTGCTATGACAGAGTTTGGAGGAGAAGCAGGGAGGTATGGAATTCAAAGCATGGCCTTCTCCAGATTCCCTGGGGACAACAAAGAAATTGGTTGTTGGGGTGGGAGGTCAGTGCTAAGTCAGACTTTCTGCTCTAACTCCATCTTGAGCCATCCTCAAACCATTAGTTTTTGAAAGTCTCTTTTATACATTGGGATTTTAATGTATAATTTTGTTTAGGAAAGGATATCCATTAAAAGAAAAAGACTTGCAACCATTGGTTTGAAGAACTTAGAGCAATCTCTAAGCTTCTGTGGGTGCTGTGGGAACTGAGTTATGTACCACATGCCTGCTTTTGAAAAAGCCTGAGCTCGAGTAAGGAAGTTGGAAAGAAATTCCAGCCAGCCTTTCAAAGCAACAAGCTCAGAAACATCATTACTGGTGGTAAAAGTCAAGGTGGGTTCAATAACCCACATTTTGACAAATACTATGGATCAAATGATGGATGTAAAGACATCATCTTGGACAAAGGAGCTGTGCCCATACTATTCAATTATGAAATATGCCCTCACCCAGTTCTTTTATTATGGATTCACTGTGCTAAACACTGGGGCCCATGAGCAAGACAGCTATGATCCTCGCTTCTGCAGGCATTTTAGAAATTTATTCTTCTCTTGCCACCAAACCTATATTCTGAGGACTTATCTTTAGGCAGAGGAGGGGGAAGTTGGTGATAAAGTCAGGCTAGAAAAGAGTTTTGGTGAATGAATCTTGAGCCCCTTCATCTCCCCAAATTTGGAGTCTCTCACCTTCTCTTCCAAGCCAAGCTCAAGGAGGCTGATGCGGGGCCAGCCCCTCCTCCTACCTTTGGCCTCTTGCCTGCCTAATGCAAAGATTGCTAACCTGTTTGTTCTAGCTGCTGAACCTCCGTGCCAATCTTAGCCTATAAGAACTTCACAGGGTGACTTAGAGCCGGCCAGGCCCTCCAAATCTTTGGTCATGGTCTTCAGAAGCCATATATGACAATCGTAGTGAGAAAACTAATAATGGAGGAACTGCCCCCCCCCCCCCCGGGGAATAGGAAATTTTAGTTCTAGACTTGACCTTGATGACCATAAGTGGCTTTGTAGAAATTGCTTTACTCTTCTGACTCTCTGTATCTTCATCTAGGGTATGAAGGAGCTAAAATTTGGATTTTCCCAGAGGAATATCAGAATTTCTATTTCTGGATGGATTTGCTAGTTGTTATGCTGTGTGTTTCTTTCTTTTTATATCATTGTCAAAGGGGTGACTCTGTTCGGGTGACATTTCGTATGGCTGTCCAGAGGCTCAGGTCCCTCCTGTATTGGGGTTCTGCCTTGCTGTATGTTGCTGCAATGTCTCTGAAGAGAGCAGAATAGGCCAAGAAAACCAACGCCCCCAATCACTATTAAAAATATTTGAGCTGGCAAATGGGGAACAGTTTAGAGAGAAGATGCTATAGTAGGAGGTTTCATGAGCCAAGTCCAGAGGTACCTCACATACATTCCACTTATATCTCATTTGTCAGAACCCAGTCACATGGCTTCACCTAAGAGCAAGGCACTCTGGGAAATGTAGTCCAGTTGCCTGGTAAAGAGGAAAGGGAAACAGGCTTGCTAAATGACCAGCCAGTTGGGTTATATAAAACTGTGCTACTCTGCCCCAATCAAGTAAATCACCTCTAGGAGACTTGTGATAATCCAGTGGGAAAATGACTGCAGCCTTTATGGGAAAGTATGTCAAGTTCCCACCAAACATCCTGGTTTTCCCAGGAAAGCCCTGGTTTATGCCTGTGGTCTCAGCATCCATCCTGTTGGTCCCCTCTCAAGAGTTTCCCAGCTGTCATGGTACGATGATGGACGAGAGGTAAGCTTAGATGAAGTCACATAAAATTGCTGAAAAGAAGTCACCCAATACTGTTCCATAAAGACAGCATTTTTTTTATTTTAAAATTCTGCATCTGAAAACACAGTATGACAGAAAGCATCTATGTACACCTGCAGTGTTTTTGGTATGATACAGTATTTAATACATCCACTGTTTTCTGCAAAAAATTTCGCTTTGTCAGACAGAAACGAACTCCCCTAGACAAAAAAATACAGCTAAGGCACAATTTTGTTGTGGTTGTTTCTCTGCTAAATGATAAGACAGAAAAGGTGCAAAAAATGGGCAGGTGATGCAGTCATTTCTGAGAATCACTTTCTACCACAAAGAAAAGCATTTGGATGATTAGAACTTTGATTATTGGTCAATTTCAGATTGTTCAATATCTCTTAAAATACTCCTTTAAATAAATAGCAAAATATCTACATCTTTCCGTGTGTGCCATGTGAATTCTCTCTGTTTTTAAAACTTTATTTACAGATTCTTTTTTTAAAATCAATACATTACAAAATATTTCTGTACAGTTTTATGCATATTGTGATCTATAACAAAATAGTTATTTTTAAAAACTATATCACCACATGTCTTTGATAACAATGAGGGAGACAGAAATAACTTATTGTGAGGCCTCTAAAACAAACACTCAAACAAATGCTATTGACAACATAAGAGTATTTTTTTTAAAAAAGAGAGAGACAGAAAGACTACAAAGAAATCGCGTTCAATTCCAGTGAATTTCCCGTGAAAACCCTGGGGTTGTCTTTGGCTCCACCAGCACTGGAGTGATGGGAGAATTCAGGATGGGGTCTGAAGGTAGGGAAAGGACGATCCCTTTAAGAACTTGACCTACCCACCAGGAATATTTAATGCTATCACTTTCCAGGCAGGAAGGACGAAGAGCTAATTTGAGAAACGCTCCTGATTTACCCTTGAATGAAGTCATAAAGTCACCCGGTCTTGGGGGGAAGAGGTTGGAAAGCCATCTTGAGCATCATTCTGGTAATTAGCCCAGCCCACTACAGCAGCAGTATGCTTTGAGAGAGAGCTTCAGGAGCTGGCTAAGGCTTACGTGAGCACTCAAACCTTCATTTTGCCCATGGGAAAAACAGAAGGACATTTTTCTTAAAGACAACAGTTGTAAGCAATTTCTATCACATCAGCGAACTACAGATCAGCAGCCCCTTGACAGGAGGTTGCCAGGAAAGCTTTAAGATGCTCATTCTTCTGTGATGGTGCTGGAAATTAGAGGCAGAGGACGTCAGCCTTCCCCCCCACCCCCAAAAAATAATAATAATTTTAAGGCCACATTTCAAAAAGGAGAACCCTAAGGCTTTTTGGGAGGAGAGGGGAAGTGGGAGACAGGAGAAGCAAGTCACAGGAAAATGCAGGAAGAGAAGGTGGTGTGAGGAATGGTGGTAGCCAGGTATAAACCTGCTTCCTGGTGGTGTCTGTAGGCAGAGGCAGTTGGAGTATTCCCAGCCAAGTGGGGAGACAAGAGAGGCCACTCTCTCCCTGCTCGGGGCTTGACAAGTACAGAACCAAAGACAACGTGAAGGGTAGACACAGGTGGCATGTGAAAGTCCTCCTCAGTCTTAAGAGGGTCCTGTACAGTATCTTGTTTGCAAGGGAAAAAATAATACTTTTAAGTTAGAGAGAGAGAGAGCGAGAGAGTGAGCAAGAGAGAGATTTGCATAGATCAGACATTCAGCTCCAGTACATTTGGACACCTTCATTCCCTTCCCCCAGGTAAACTTAACTTCTCAGCAGACACAATGAGGTAGCGCCTGTGGTTGACCCATGAGCAAAGCGAGGAAACTGAGGCAGAAGTAAAGAGGGTTTCCTGTGAGCAAGCACAGCTCTGTATGTTTTCTAAGGAAGCTTTCAGAGGTGGCCATATATCTGCCAAGATGTGGGACTGGACAGAAACTGGCAGTTTTACTCACTAATCCCTTCTGGACTTTCCTTGCCATTTCTGCCTGGTTTGATGGAACTTGGAAGGTAGGGACTCATGTGGATTAGGACCTCTGAATGTCTAAGAGGTCTGCATCCCAGACCTCCAAAGGGCATTCCTTTTTCCCTTCAGCACAAACATTTTGGGACCAGGACAGCCAACAAGCCAGCCTCCTCTGAGGAATGGTTTTTGGGAAGGGAATGATGACTCGCCAGAGGGCCCCTTCCCTTCAGGAATCAATGTGAACCATTCTTTTTGCTCTTCCCAAATGCTGGCTCCTTCCCTCGTCTACTAGGACAAGGCCTAGCCTAATTTTAAACCACCTCTGAGAGCAGAATTTGCTGGTAGAACGTAAGTGAATTATGGACTTTTTTTCCCTCACTGTGATAGCTGACATTGAAAAATCAGATTTCCTGTAAAAAATCTGGCTTCCTTTTCCAAACTGGAAGATTCTACTCTTCCATGAAGCTGAGCCATGACTGCTTTCTGGATGGGGCACATGTATGCCTGGAGCACCACAGTCCCTACCACTTCCTCTTACACCACTGTCTCATTCACTTACGTTCACCTTCTGGGTCTCATTCGTGACTCCTATCATAGAGTGAACCTTTAGCTGCAAAGCTTTCTTTACAAACACAAGGTGAGCATGCTGACAGAAGTTTTCAGAATAACCCCCCCCCACACACACCCAATACACACACACTCCTGAAATGCTACTGGTGTTCTGACTTCTCAGTGAACTTGGATGTGAAAGGCATCCTTGCTCATCGCTCACACCTGGAGACAACATCTCTTGTCTACTCTCCCTTCTCAGCAGATGACTCAAGGTTCCAGCCACCGTCCTCCTTGTAGCTACCTGAAAACTAGAGAACCAGAAGGGGACATGGTCCCTGTATACCTTGCATGTGCCTAGAGTAGCAATAACCCAGCCCTCTGGAGTAGGGGTTATGTGGCCTTACTCACCCTCTGTAAATGCCATTTGAATTTTACAAGTTAAACCAACAATGAGAAATAAAATCAGAAAGACCCCTGATCCCGCTGGAAAGACCGTTTTCCAAAGGGAAGACGGGGTGTACTTCTTACAACAAGGGGATTTGGGAACTGCTCACTTCCTCCCTGGAGACACATTGCTTTGTGCATGACCTGGGAAGTGGGGTTTGGGAAAGCTGGCTGCCTTCTAAACTTCATTTCTACCAGAATGTTCCCGGATAGGTGGGCACTGGCAGAGACAACTGTAGTCTGAATGCTCCCTTCACCCCGCAAGCTGAGATCCTCATCTCCCCAGTCTCCAGGGACTTGGCCAGTGGCTGAGCCCACAGCTTAGGCTAACACCCTCTGTAGACTCTAATAAGGCTCCCAGAGACCACACCACCACACTTTTAAAATCCTCAGGCAGCCACAGCTCAAGGCTGCCTGACCAGTGGCTTTCAAAACACACACACACACACACACAACCATTCTTAGGCAGGTAAAAACAACAAAAAACAAGGAGTTACCCCATTTTCTCTGGAAAAACACCTTCTTTTCTCAAATAATACTTGGCTGTGCTTGGAATTATCCTTGTTTACCAAACGTAACATCTGCAAAATTATTCTCTGGTCTAAAAACAGAGGAGTCAAAGAAAAACACCCCAAATTAAAAAGCGGGGTGTGTGAGAGGGGGAGCCCTGGGGGGAGGAAGGCAGTCTCCAGAGTAAGTTAGCTCTGCCATTTCTTCACTCATTCCAGAATGGGAAAAAAATCAGAAATGTCTGATTGGGTCAGGAAGGGTCTTGTCTTGGTGCCTGCAATTCCCACTGTACATAAGGACATGCCATTGATTATAACACTGCAGAAAACGCAGAGCTGTAATGGCCCAGCAAGGAGGGAGAAAGGGAGCCTGCCCAGGGCTTTTGCAGCCCCAGGGAAACCCTAGTCAGAGACAGGGGCTAGGGCAGGAAGAGGATGTGGTGCCAGACTTGTGGCTCCCATGGGCCTTCTAAAACTATTTGGAGAGCCTATGGGCTTCCTGAGAAAGCCACTCTGAGGTCCCAAAACCACCAGGGACAATAGCTGAGCTCTCCAGCTGGGTCTTCTGATTGCCCTCTTCCTAGGATGGAACTCTCTTGGAAGGGGCAGGCTTCCCTCAGTCACTGGCACATCAAGGCCCGTGGTGAAAATGGCCATGGAGCGTCCACCATGGAGCCAGCAGGGATGGTCCAAGCTCTCTCAGTCAGCTCAATCCCATCTCCCCACGTCTTCAGCCTGTCACATCGCGGTGCCTGGGGTGGGGTCGGCTCAGAAATGCCAACACTCTTGGATGTGGAGGGACAGATGAAACTAACACCCTGAATGATGGGGAAACAGGCTCCAGTGGTCCCAAAGGCACCCAGTCAGTCGAAGATGTTAGTTCAAACTTCCCATGGTGTTCCACACCCCCTTTTAACTCTGAGGACAAGGAGAATGTAGGGCAGACAGAGAGAGAGGGAGAGAGAGAGAGGGATGGACGGATGGACAGACAGGCGGACGGACAGACCAACTGGGGGCAGGAGTGGCAGAGGAAGGGAACAGAGCCTTTTGTGAATAAAGGCAGCTTCAGTTAGTAACATAATTGACAAGCTGCAAAAACAGCACCTACTAATTAGTCATTGACTAAAACATATAAATAATAAATATCTAGTGTCCCTTCTCTATGTCCTCCTCCATTGCTAACGGGACATCTTGCCTTGCTGGGAGGAACAGGGACAGCGCAGTGGACAGGTCATCGGGGGGACTCACATCAGGAGTGCTGAAAAGACCAGCTCTCCATAGGAAGGACATGTGTGGCTTTTGTCAGGAAATGCTGTCATTCAGGGAGGGTGGGATTCAAAGAAGAAGTGGAGCCTCTGGGGAGGCCTCCCCAGATTAGCGGGGGATGGTCCTGCAGAGCCCTCATGGCAAAGAAACCCTTTAGGTTTCTGGTAACTCAAACGATTTGAATCATACTATCTTTTTTTTTTTTTAAACACCCCTCCCACTGTTGAAATTCAATCTTCCTAATTTATGTGCTATGTCACCTCGGATAAGGAAGGGCATGGAATTAAAAACCAAATCTAAAATGCTTTTTCCTGGATGGGAGAAGTCTGGTCCATGTGATTTGGTCACTGCCTACAGCACCAAATGTGCAATTCACAAAGGTTTTGGGTGCCTGATCTCGGGGTAGAAGGGCTCTGGTAGGTGATGGGTATTGCTGTGCTGTTCAACTCAGGAGTTTCTCCAAGCGATCTTTTGGGAGTTTCAGGGCCATGGTCCCTGGTGTTTCCATTTTTAAGTACCAAAGAGGTCATGATCTTGACCTCCAAGCCTATGGAGAGCTGGGAGACTCAAGGCTCATGCTCACAGAATCACTGCATTTCTGCTACCATGTGAGCCGCCTTGGTGGAGCATGGCCTGGATCAATGGACAGTTGGTTATCATACTTCTTGATTGATCTAGGCCATGTCACATCGAAAGGCTTTCCTGCTTCTCTAGTTACGAGGGAGAACAGCTCAACTCAAGGCCTAGAGCCTCCCCAAGCCTGCTTCCTCCCTGGGAAAGGCCCGAGATTGTGGCCTTTGGCCAGTCTGCTATTTCAGGGTGGGCAAGGGTTTCCCAGCCAAAGGAGCAGAGCACAAAGGTAAATGGAAGGGCGGGGCTGGAACTCAAACCCTTGATCTGGGCTGTGCTTGTCAAACTGGGTTGCGTGGAGCCCTTGGGTTCAGAAGAGATGGGTTCAGAAGAGGTACTTAGAAGACGTCCTTGACAAAGGGACTGCCCGCTGGGCTGGGCCTTGAGTGGGAAGTTCCCGCTCCTCAGTTTCAAGCAGAGCAACCTGGATTTCATCTGTACCTTGAACCTGCCACTGTGCTGAGTAAACTAAGTTTTCTGCTCAAAATAAAAGTGAAACTCACTTGTGGTGGGGGGACAAGTGCAGGTCATTGGAGGGGGAAGACAGAAACCTGCAGGAACTGAGGACCAACCAGAAGAGGAGAAACCAACATGACACCAGGACTGAGTCATCCCCACCCTCAGAGGCCAGATGCCAAATGCAGGCCAACCGGCTCTGACCTCCAAACCATCCCCATCACTGTATGGCCAGGAGAGCCCCTTGTACAAGAGGCTCCCCCCAGGTTGCGAGGCCCGGGTTCAGGCCCCACCTGCCCTTCTGGCTGCTTTTCCATTGAGATTGCACGGTGGCACACACAAGGCCAGTGCTACCTGAGCCGGCCATCAGGTTTGACCGCCCCCAGCTCCGACTTGGGGTCGGGGCTGAAGGAGCTCCAGGCTGTCTGGCTGCAGGTCTGCATGACCGGGCAGGAGGTGGGGCCTGTGGCACAGATGTCCATGGCTGTCCACATCCCACCCACCAGTGAGTCCAGCCATCCCTCCAGCACTGTGCCTGTGGTGGCCGCATTCCTCCGAGCCTGCTCCACCTGGGCAGGACTGATGGGCAGGCTAAGGACGGGGTTCAAACTCTGGAAACTCTGTTCCATGTAGGCACTGCGGAGCGGCCCACTGTGCAGCTTCAATGCCTCCTCTGAAAGATAAAGGAAACAGTGACATAATTGTAAGAGTCACCACCTGGGCACTGTGCTGGGCACTAGATCTCAGCTCATGTCATCCATATGACAAATTCATGGGGAGGTTCTTTTAGCAGGCCCATTTTACAGGTGAAGAAACTGAGCCTGCGAGGACAGAGGCCGCACAGTGCAGGGCATGGTGTGTTCTTTTATTCATTCAATCTGTATTTCTGGAGCATCCTTAATGGTCCAGACATTCATACACTCATTCAATGCATATTTTTAAGCTGCTACTTTGTGCAAGACGTTCACTCAACACTTACTAAGCATTTCTTTCCTGCCACGCATTTAGTGATTTATTTATCATCTCTATAGATGTGTATTTAGAGTACCTATTCCTGCAGATACCAGGCTCCATTCTAGGGGCAGGAATGAGCCTAACGCAGAGGTTAGGTTACAGTGGTCTTGATGGGGAAATATGGACAACAATAAAGAAATTAACAAGTTGATAAAGTCTATTTTGAGCAGTGGTAAATGTCAGAAGACAATAATCAGGGCATTGAGTCAGAGCAGACTGTCAGCAAACTGTGGTCCTTGGGCCAAAGCCAACCCCATCACCTGTGTTTGTAAATAAAGTTTTATTGGAACACAGCTTAACCCGTTTGGGTACAGATTGTAACACACATGTTACAGATGAGAGTGGCTGAGGCAGAGACCCTGTTTGTTTTTCCTCCAAAGCTGAATATATTTACTACTTAGCCCTTTATGGAAAACATTTGCTGGCCCTTGGGTTAGAGAGTGACGGGGGCATGCAGGGGAGACCTTCCTGGGGAGGTGGCGTCTGACGTGCTGGTTAATGTGAAGGAAGAAGCCACAGATGGATCCTGGGGAAAAGAATTCCAGGCAGACAGAGGGAAAGCACCTTCCCCTAAATCACACAGTAATGAGATTGAACCCAGGGCTGTCAATCTTGAAGTCTGATGAGCATCCCGCTCTTGGCTGCTGTGTGTCCACCGAGAACTCTGGATGAGCCAGGGGTTTTTGCTTCCTAGCAGCTCGGTCCAGGCCATGGTGCATGAGCTCACCACCAGAAATGCCACAGCAAGGAGGAAGAATGGACCACAGTGGGGCGGGATGTCCTTTCACCAGCTCTGCTTGCCGAGCACCTGTTGCCAGCTAGAGCCTGGATACTACAGCCAGGGTGTCTGATCTCAGTCTTCATGTCCTACAGACTAGCATGTGACATTATTATTTTATTTTTAAATTTGGTGGTACTGGGGATTGAACTCAGGGCCTCACGCTTGCTAGACAAGCCTCCAGTCCTTTTGCTTTCTTAGTTTGTTTTTCAGATAGTGTAGTGAGCTTTTATCTGGGTCAATCTTAGGCCTTGATCCTTCTACATCTGCTTCCCTAGTAGCTGGTATTACAGGCATGTACCATCATGCCATGCCCCAGGTGTGCAACTTCTGGCTTTGGCTGCCTCAGTTTTCTCATCAGCTAAAAGAGCAAAGTGTATATTATCTCCCTCATAACTTTGTGAGGATCAAATGCTAACTCAGATAAAGTGCTCGCAAGGACGCCTAACTTAGGATCTGTGCTTGGAAAAGTTTAGTTAGGATTATTATTGTTGGATTTGTTAATTCGAGACTCTCACACACTATAGGACTGTTTTTATCATCCCATTTTACAGATGAGAAACAGAGACTGTGGTAGCTGGAGACTGCGGTGGGGTTGAATGCAGGAGTGTCTTGCTTAAAGCTGTGCTCACTCACCATCATGGTACTCTATGGATGACTCATTCACCAACCAGCAGCTACAGCAGGGTTTCAGTTTTTTTTTTTAATGTGGGCATTAGTCTTTCCAAGACTTGGTTTCCCCATCTGTTAAATGGATATACTCACAGTGGTACCAATGAAACCTATAGGGCTGGCAAGAGGCTAACCAGACTTTCATATGCTTTGTGAACACTGAAGTAAGGTACACATGAAAGGCACTGCTACTTCTTCCCAGGGTTTAAAGATGAAGATGCAAAAAGCGTAAAGTTCAGGGTGAAAGAAAGAAGCTAAATGTTCTTATGTTGAAGAAGTTCCCATTATTTTCTTGGTTTTTTGCACATACACACACACACACACATATATGTACATGTATATGTATATGTATATGTATATATATATATATGTATATATTTAAAAGATGAGTCAAGGTGTCTGGAGAGTTCTGTTTTACCAAATCAGGTTTTACTATAGCCAAAGTAGCTAGGATTAGAAGAACCCTTCTTCTGAGATAATGCAGTCCTCAGAAGACAATGCTGGCCCCAAGAGAGCCTGATAATTACCATGCTATTTTCTTCTAATACATATGGTCGTCCTGAATAGGGAAGAAGGAGGTAGGAAAACCCCATTCCTGCCCTCGTTTCTAAAAGCAATCAGAATACTAGATGACTAGGAAGCATGCCTTCACCTGGATCATCACAGACAAGGGTTTCATTCCTTCAATTCCTGATGCCCCAGGAAGCTAAGCAGCATGGCACTATGGTTTGGAGGGGAGCTGGGGGGAAAAGGAGACCAGCAGGAATCGACCACATATTTCATCTTGCTATGATTGTGCAAAGCTCTCTTTCTTGGTATTAGGAAGCATTGTGTTATAAATCTGGTCCTAGCCCACTTCTCTCTGATCATGGCAGGCATGGTAAATTCAGTGCTGGCACTGTGTGCCAGGAGAACAAAGCCTTCTGTCTGTGGTTAGGGGATCTAATTTTTCCACCAGAGCCTCTTCTGCAGAGATGGGAGCGGGGAGGTGGAGAGATGCTTAACTGACAAAAGGCAGGACAAGCAAAGGGAAAGGAACAGCTAGCAAACCTTCCAGTGCTGGGAACCAAATATTGTGGTTGATGCAAAAAAAAAAAAAAAAAACCTTATGAAAAATGAGGTGAATGTGGAAGATGTTATTACAGTAACAGCTCATGATGCTCGCCTCAGTAATTAAATTTTCCTCAATTCCACCTCATCAGATTACCAGGGATGCATCAATAGCAAATTACTCCTGATGAATCATTTTACAAATTGTTCTGCTCTCGCCTTCCTGTTCCCTGTCACTGGAACATAGTTAAATGATACAATTGTGACAATGGGGAAGGGGCTGCTCCCAGTGGCATATAACGACCCCCTTGGGTCTTCTTGGGCATGCATGGGAAGAGCTCTGCTTTCCTTGGAAATTCCAAAAAAAAAAGAAACCCACTGGAAAAAATCAGAACCTAATGCATGGCTTGGGTTGCCTTCCTGGGGCAGAATGGATTCAAGACCACTCTTTTGTGCTGTCCTACACATTGCTTAAAGCAAACAAGGACAGTCATTCTGTCCTCTCCCCCATGTCTTTAAGAGCCCTTAGGATGATATGGGGGTACACCTAATTAAAGGGGACACTTGAGGTTCTGGAGGTCTTCTGCCTGATTCACAGGGGACTGGAGGGGAACAGGCTTCCATCTCAGCACGACACGAGGCCTGTGTTTGACTTGCTCAGCACAAAGGTTTAGCAGGGGCTGCCAGGAACCATGACAAGACTTCCTGTTTTAGAACTCCCTTCACAACTGTATCTCCCCCACTTGCAAAATGGCACCCGCCCAGGACTCATCTAGCTAACATGGTTGGTCATGTGTTTCTAGCTCTGGGTTTGTGACTTGCTAGATAGGGATGGACAATTTTAGATACAGCCAGCCTTCTGTATCCACGGGTTGCACATTCACATATTCAACCAACTACAGATCAAAATACTTGGGGAAAAATATATCTGTATTGGACTGTACAGGCTGCTTTTTGTTGCTGTTATTCCCTAAGTAACACATGATAATAACTATTACACAGTGATTGCATTGTTTCAGATATCATAAGTAATCTAGGGGTGATAAGGTATGTGGGAGAATGGGTGTAGGTTATGTGAAAATTCTGTATAAGAGACTTGGGCATCCTCAGATCCTCAGATTTTGATATGCAAAGGAGGTCTTTGAGTCAATTTCCTGAAGACTAATGTCAGTTTGGCACGCATATGGGGAGCAGTGGTACCAAGAGAGCCAGAAATTCTGCTTCTATGACTCTGTCTTATGGGTGCACCTGCCCAGCCTCATACAACTTCTGGTTCAAGAATCCTCCTAGCTGGGTGTGGTGGCTCATGCCTGTAATCGTATCTTCTTAGGAGGTGGAGATAGGGAGAATCACAGTTCGAGGCCAGCCTGGGCAAAAAATCAACAAGATCTCCATCTCAACTAATGCCTGGGTGCCTGTCATCTCAGCAACATGGAGAAGCAGAAATAAGGTGCTTGTGGTCCAGTCCGGCCCTGGCATAACCTGAGTCCCTAACTCAAAAACAACCATTGCAAAAAGGCTGATGCACTGGCTCAGTGGTAGAGAGCCTGCCTAGCAAGCAGAAGGCCCTGAGATCAAACTCCAGCACTGCCTACCCCTCAAAAGAAAAGAATAGACTCTTCCTTGCATCTCTATCTGTAACAAGGATTCCTTAATCCCATGGAGTTACCTGCAGTTGCTAGCTTATATACACTGAATTAGAAAGCCACAAAAGTAAATTTCAGACAAAATGTTTCATTCTATTAAAAAAAATCAACCGTGTTTCTGTGATTGCTGACATGTGCTACGTTGATGCTTTGAAAAGGATGACAGAATTCTGGACAGATACACAGCAAACTGTCTGCAGACGATGCTCCTGGAGATAGAGTTTTAGTAGGTGAAAGACATCCCTTGATTAAAGAAGGTGGAGAAAGAGAAATAGAAACCCAAGGGTCAACCCTGTGGGTGAAATAAAAGGCAGGCGTGTTAGGAGTCTGGTCTCTCTCTTCCGTCCTCCACGTCCAGGATTGCGTGTTAATAATTCCTTTCCTTACAGCTTCCTACTGACACAGGATCCTACAACAATGTACCTCTGGCTTTTCCTGCTCTGGAACTTGGAATATATGCACCTTAATTATGATTTATCTATGATTTTTCCCCTCAACGTAAGTTTTACAGACTCATCACAGGTGACACATGTGGCTGAGCTTTACTGATGTCACTGCTGCATAGGACTCTGTTGTCCCAATAGTCTACAATGTGCCCCCAGGTATATGGACATTTGTATAGTTTTTGATTTTGTCCTCCCACAAACAATTCTGCTAGGGCTGTTTCTGCCCATGTCCCTAGGGCCTTTGCAGTAGAATCTCTGCGGGTAGGGTGTGTGCAAGTTCAATCTTATAAGGAAAACTAATGCACTCCCAGACTTGTCTTATCAACTTGTCTTCCTGTTAGCACTGGATGAATGTCCCTGACTCTCCAACCTTATATCACCTGTTCTTCACACACTGTTTTCCCAACATGGTAGCTATGGATAGAGTTACTTTTTGCTTTTAATTTGTATTTGTCTCATTATTAATGGGGTTGAGCATTTCTTACACGTGTGTGCACACCCTTCATGCTTTTCTGGTTTTTCCCCTTTAGAGCAGGCATTGGCAATCTCTTTTTACTTTTTCTTTTTGGGGGAGGGGTGTGAGAGCAGAAGAGCCTTTGCTTGCCTTCGTAACCAAAGCGCTGTCTGTCACAACTATCATCTCTGCCACTGCAGCCTCAGAGCACAGACAGACATTGTGTCAATGAATGGGCATGTCGGTGTCCCAAAAAAACTTTATTTACAAATAGCAGCACTGAGTTGTTTTTGATTTGTGGCTTGTGATTTGCTAAATTCTGACTTATGGGGTATCTCTGTAGATTCTGACCATGAGCATTTTTTGGAGGTAAATATCTTCCACTGGTGTGGTTACTCTTTTTACTTAAGGTATCTCATATATAATAAATGGAATCCCTATGTTAATTATTATTTTCTAAACAGTAAACAAGACTTACTGAAACTCAGTGTCTTCCTGGGATTATTTCCTGCCTTGTCTTAAATATGATCAGGACCTTGGTGAAGTCCAGTGGGAGAGTGACTAATAAGTATGTCTGCTACCATCATCTCCTTGTGCAGGGAGGAAATTGATAGTCCTTTAGGGCAAAGAAATAGGGAAAAGCACCAAGAGCAGGGAGCATTGCTCTGTAAGATAGCCACATGCCTCATCTCTGAGCACATTGTCTGCCAAGGTCAGAGACCCTCCCACAGACCCTGGGGATGAAGTTGTTCCCCGGCAGGGACACTGAGGCGCTCACCTGGTTTGATGGGCTGCCTGTTGGAGAAGGTCAGAGGAGCAACAAGGAATTTGGTCTCTGCAACCGGCACCCAGTGGTGGAGAATCTTCACTGTCCAGACCCCAGGCCTCAAGGGCAAGTTCAAAGGGGGCTTATAGTGTGTGAATTCAGCAGTGGACTCAATCAGGATGTCGTAGGTGGCTGCGATGACGTTGACAGGATCCACCCAAATGACTGTCACAGTCACATTGGGTCCCTTCCCCCATTTCTGCATTCCCACTGGCTCATCCATGGGTCCCAGGAGACCCCCAAAGTTGCGAAACAGCCGCTCCTTGGCATCCCAGTCAGTGCCAACCTGAAATGAGAGCGTCAGTCCTGAAGTCGCTGGGTCTGAACTAAGGTGCTGGGTCCTAGAAGGCCGAGGGTCCTGCTTGGTAGCCTGTATCTACCCATTTCTCAAATGAGGAGACTGAGAGACAACGGGACTCTTACACAGTCAAGGTGCACTCTGGAGGACAAGGTCTATGGTCCTTTCAGTAAACCACTGGGTCTGTTGTGTCCAGTACATGGTTTGTGTTTTGAAATGAAAACCCAAAGAGTCATGCTTTGAATATGTGAGTGACTGAGTACCTACTGGCTTGCAGGCCTTCTTGAGACACACACACCCTGCCACTTCACGGGGGCAGCTGGCTTCTGTTTTGGTCCTTGGTTTTGCAAACCATGCACCTCTACTTAGTTGTTCTGAACAAGAATGGAGCTCAGGAAAGGAGAGACAGCAATGCTGTCATTTCAGGAGATCCAGGGGCTCCTAGCTAGGGCCGCTCTTCACTTCCCCGTAGTATTCTGAGCTTAACTCTAGAGACAGGAGGCATGTGATCCATCCTTGATCCATCCTTCCCACTCTCCAGCTGGGTGGTTGTATGGCCTTGACCCCCACAGGGATCTGATCATAGCCTTCCTCCTTCCACTTCTGCTGCTTGCAATTTTTTTCTCCAAAGTATCATGTGCCTTCAACTGCTCAGCACCCTGTGACTCCCAGGCCTTGCCACCCCTCTAACACCTCTTCCCCATCCTGCTCCACACTTGCTCCTTCCCAGCCAGAGACCTTCCCATCTCCTCTGCTGAAGCAAGCCCTGTCACCTGACAGGTGAATAGCACCTGTCTTGCTTTCTCTCTGCTTTTTCTTGATGCCTACTATGGGGCTCAGCACACAGTAGATGCTCTAGCAATTCTGTCCAATGAAGGAGTGAATGATTTGACAAAAAAATGAATTAACAACATAGACTGCTGTGAGCTTTGTTGCTAGTTCAAATCACGGGAAATAAATGAGAGGGTCTTCTAATTTGAAAAGAAGAAATGGAATTCTCTCTCACCCCTAGGAGGGTTAGCTGAGTGTTTCTGAAGACACAGCTACAGCGCATGTTGGAAGCAGATAATGGGCAGAACGCAAGGTGGACGCTGTATTGCTAATGCCTGTGTGTGCAGGTTGAGGTGGAGGTGTGAGTTTACATCCACACAGAGGCTAACGGGTGTGTGCACTGCAGATGGGAACTGACTTGCTTTCTCCTTGTCTCGCCTGGAGGTACTAGGCACGCTCTTTACCCAGGACCCAGAGCTCCACAGCCCACATTTGCCAAGGACTCACAGTGCACCAGGTACAATGCCAAGCATGTGAGGACATCAGTGCATTTGAAATTCCCAGCTCTGTGATGGGGGGAAACTTGGTGACCATCATCACTGTGTAGATGGAGAAACCAAGGCTCAGAGAAGGCACATAACTTGCTGCAGAAACCAAGGAACCTCAGAGGATGCCTCCTTAACCTCATCTTCTATTGAAAGCTGTCTCATTCTCTGTGTTCTGGCCACCCTGGTCTTGCCTTTCTGTGAGTATGCCAAGCTCACCCTCAGAGCCTCAGGGCCTTTGCACATGCTCTGTTCTCTACTCAGAGTACTCCAGATCCCCTTGTGGCTGATCTGGTCCTGTATAGGTTTCATCACTAAGTTCATCTTAGAAAAATCTTCCGGATTGACTCATCCTGTGAGAAATAGTCTCCACCAACCTGAGCCCTTGCTAATCACATGAGGAGGTTTGATTTTCTCTGTGAACTTGTCTTTAGCTGAAACGTTTTTGCTCATTTATTTCCCACTCCTTGGCTGCTTGCCTCACTAGACTGCAGTTCCATGACAACCCAGGCCTCATCTGTCTGGTTCACTGCTCTCCCTTTGAACCTGGCACCTCATAGCCACTTGGTGACAGCCTGCAGAAATGAGTTGCCCATAGATTGGGGAAATCTGTCTGAGCTGTCACACTGGCCACTTGCAGCAAGTTGGGAACTAGCCAGGAACGGTGCTGACACCAGGGAGATTCTCACAGCCCTGAAATTCTCTCCTTCTTGTTCAATTTTTTACCTTTGCCATTAAAAATAAGCAAGACTCAAAAAAGTTCCAAATACAAGGTTAGGACTTTTTGCCTCCCATACTGTTATTTCTGCCAGCAGTCTTGGTTGCAGACCCATAGTAAGAACCCTCACAAATCACTAGTCATGGAGCAGCCAACATCTTTTGTCACTGCTCGGGGGAACCGCTCACCCAACAGCAGGCTGATAAACACAGAGTGCCCAGACACCAGGCATCCATCTCTTTAATGGGATGTTACTGTCCTCATGGGCCGTCTGGGCCCTCAGCACAGAATCCAACTGGGGCAGTGTCTAATTGCCCTCTGACACCGGTAGTTTGTGGAGAGGGTGACCATGGGAGCTCAGACACAGGCAAGTCTTTTGGAGCCTTTCATGGAAAATGCTGGCTTCACTCTCAGCCACACCTGTGTGACATGGGGATCCACTCACTGGAGTGCAGGTCAGCAAAACTAAACAGCAGGGGGCAGAAGGACCAGCAAGGAAAATAGAAGCAGATGAGACTCTCTGTCCCATCATGCCCCTCAAATCCCTGCATGTTCTCAAACCAGACCCTTCACTCTTAACCCAGCATTTGAACACTCTGAGATGGATCACCTCCTTAGTCACTATGGATGCAAGGAGACAGAAGTTAGATGCTAGACTTCAATGTGGGCAACACTGCCCAAGTCTTCCACACTTCCCTTCCTTCCAGCATTCTCCCAAGTGCACTTACCCATCCATTCAAAAGTGGTACCCAGCCCCTACAAATGATGGCCCTCTTCTGCAAATGACAAATGCACGGGCTGCAGCAGTGAGTGACAGAGGTACAGGTCCTGCTCACTGGGGGACCAACAATAAGTGACCAATCAATAAGACAATGTTAGATGGCAAATCTTAAGAATCTTGGACGGGGAAGTGTGGTGGGTAACAGAGCCATCGTGGTATAACTGGGGAGTCAGGGAGAGAACATTTGAAGGTGCACCTTTTGGATTTAGATCAGGATAGCTAAAAAAAGAAATAAATGTTAGTTATGGACATCCTGGGAGAAAGAGAAAGCATTCTAGGTGTAGGCTCAGCCACACCTGAGGTAGGAATAAATACAGTGGGTTTGAAAAGGACACAGGAATTATGAGCAGGGAAGAGAGTGGTACCGGACAAAGCTGGAGGCTGGATCATGTGGGGCTTCTGGACCTGAAGGCAGGGCTGATGCCATGGGCTGGTGCTGGGAAACCCATTTGGTCAGTGAGAAAACTAACTAAAAGCTGATGCTATAGTCAGGACAGGGAAAATGAATTCTCTGGATCCATGCATCCATGTGGCAGTCTAACTGTCTGCCCCTTCACCCTTCTGTCCATTCATCCATCCATCCATCCCTCTAACCATTCCTCCCTCCCTTCATCCATTTATCCATCCATCCCTCCCTTAATCCATCCATTCATCCCTCCACTCATCCCATATATCCATCTATCCCTCCATCTCTCCCTTCATCCATTCCTCCATCTATCCATCCATCCATCCATCTATCCATCCTTTCCTTCTTCCCTCCCTCCTCCATCCCTCCAGCCACTCCTGTAGTTGAGGAGGGTCTTGTGCTTTCTTTGAGGCAGTCCTTACTCTAGGAACTCGGATAACAAAAATATAACAAAGCATGACATTTATGACCAAAGAAATCTGGGATCAATTTTGAGCTCTTTTACTTCCTAGCATTGATCCAGAAAAATCCCTTTGATCTCCATAAGCCTCAATTCTCCAATCTGTAAAATGGTACTAATGCCGACTTCATTAGGAAAGTGGTTTGTTCCTGGCCCATTACTAACTCAGGTTTAGAAGGAGTCACTAGTTAGAATAACAAGAAGAGAAGAAATTCTACTGTAAGAACTAGACCAAAAATGCCCAGGTTGGTTCTGTCCACTGAGGTTGCCCGCTCATCCTGCCCTACTTCAGATGCTGGTTCCAGTGTGCAAGGCTTGAGAATCTTCCAGAAATGTGAGCTCATCTTCAGGGCTCCATAAGTCCCCTCCCCCATTTCCAACGTCAGATCATGCATGGCACAGAATTTAGCAAGGGGACCACAGAAGACGATGAAGTGTCTGACCTCTTACCTCAGAAAACTGAAGCCTGCCAAAGTCGCTGGGGGGGCTCGCAATCTTGAAGACTTTCTTCGGCATCACCCAGGTCTCCAGGGTCTCTAGTTTACTCACGGCCAGGTTGGTAGCATGGTGCTTTATCAGAAAGCCCTGGAAGCGGTCAGCAAGGAAGTAGAGGTGGACAGAGGCTGGGTGGCCCATTGGGTAGTATCTGTAAATACAGGAGTTCAAGAATCAGGCCTGAGGTATGAGGCATCATAGAAGAGCTTCCCAAGTGCCATGCTATCCTGAAATAATCCCCATTTTATACAAAGCTTACAATATTCTTTTTTTTTTTGGCAGTACTGAGAATTGAACTCAGGTCTCACTCTTGCTAGCTCTCTACCACTTAAGCCATGCCTCCAGTTCTTTTGCTTTTAGTGTGTTTTTCAGATAGGGTTTCCCACTTTTGCCCCTGCTAGCCTTGGGCCATGATCCTCCTATCTCTGCCTACTGAGTAGCTGAGATTACAGGAGTGTACCACCATGCCTGGCTTTTTAACCACATTTTTTGGCCTCTGTCTGAAAGCTGCTGCCTATGTGTCTATGATGTCAATGGTGATGAATAACTTTTTGCTAAGTTATAAATGTAAAACATGCTGACTGTAGGAAAGCATAATAAAGAAAAAAAATAAAATTACCACTTTAATGCCTTTGCCATAAATAACATCAATTCACAGAATTCTATTGAATCCTTCCAGTGTCAGGTCCTGGAGAGTGGCGATGGTGTGAACACAGTCTGTTGAAGCCTTCCTCCACAGCCTCGTTTTCTATGCGTATATTTGCATCAACACATGCATATATTTGCATAAATATTACATGGGTGGGATCATAATGTACATACTGGTTATATTCCGATTTTGCTCTGTAGGATTTCCTGGGCCTTCTTCACAAGTCTTTGAAAGGCCTCTAAAAACAAGCTTGTGTGTGCATGTGTGTACATGTGTGCACAGCATTTCCTTGTTTGTGACACACGGTTTGCAGAGTCAGTGACTTCTCACTGGCTAATAAGTGACATATTTTTTGTTATTCTGAACAAGGTGCATCAACATCCTATCAAAAACAGTTTTTGAACATAAACATCTTTCTCTCTCTCTCTTTGCTGCTCTCTCTTTTGGATGGTACAGAGACTTTGCTAAGCAGGCATTCAACCTCTTGAGCCGTGCCCCCAACCCTTTTTTGCTTTAGTTATTTTTCAGGCAGGGACAGGGCCAGTCTCAGACTGCATTCTTCCTACCTATGCCTCCCCCACTGCTAGGATGAAAGGCATTCACCACTGTGCCTGGCTTTTTGGTTGTAATGGGGTCTCATTAACTTTTTCTTTGGCTGGCCTGGAAACTGATCCTCCTGAGTAGCTGGGATTACAAGCATTCACCACTACTCCCAACTCTCTCTCTATTTTTTAACCTCCATGATTCTTTATGCCTGCTGCCACTTTTTATCAGAAATCCTGATCTACACTCTCACTGTTCTCAGCACCATCATTGGGTCTCTGCTTCAAAAGTGACTGCCAACCTGCGATCCACACATGTAAATACATGCAGACATACAGAGGGAGCTTACTGCTTTAAGACACACGTCTTTGGGCTACCCAGGCTTGCTGGCCAGAAGGGTTGGGGGAGCTAAGCAGAGATGCCCAGAGGAGGATGGAGCTGGGAGCAGGAGGGAGAAGGAATCACGGTGGAGGAGATCTGCTCCTCGCCCTTCCTACTTGCAAAGTAAAAAGCTGCTGCTTCTGCAATGTGTAAATTGCACAGCACTAAGACACTGGTTGTGGTTCTTTAATAATGGCTTTCTACAAATCACTGTCCCTCAGCTAAATGCAGGCTTTCCCCGGTTCTGATTTGGAGTTTTAAGTCTTTGTGCCCAATTATAATGGCTGGGAGCTGCCTTCCCATGTTGACGTCTCTTCCGAAATCACTGCCTTGTTGCTGGGACGCCTCGGGGTTTTCAGATTGCTGGGCCTGTGTGGCTCATGCCAACATCGTTCAGAATGTGGACGCTGAGCTGAAAACCCGGGACTGTGCCGCCACTGTCCTGCAGCAGAAGAGTCACAGCGGGGCTGACGGACAGAGCCTTACTCTTTGTAGCTGTGCCATCCAGTCTGGTAGCCACTAGCCACATGTGACTACTGAGTACTTGAAATGTGGCCACTGTGACTGAGGAATTTTACTTAACTCAAATAGGCATTTGCAACCCGTGCTTACTGCAGGGGACACCATCAGGATGGCTGTGGAAGAGTCTGAGGTCACCTGTATTCATGTCCCCTAGGTCTCATGTCTTCATGACTGCAGGTTTCCTTTCTGATGAGGAAGAATGGATTGTCCTACCTTCTCAATTTTCTTGGGTGGCCCTGCTGCTGGTGAAGGGGTATTGTGTCACTTTTGAGCTGGGTCTCTAGAAGCCTGGCTCATGTCCACCTGCCTTTTGTCACCCTCTGTGATCACCTTGAGATATGCCTGGCTAGCCTGCTGGAGGATGAGGCATGGTAACAGAGCTGACCCCTTGCAATTGTCTTCATTAGCGCCATCTTGGATCAGCCAACAATTCTCAGCCAAGAGCCACAGAGCCACCTTACTGGTTTGCAGCTGGCCACAGGTGCAGGGGTGAGTCCTGGCCAGGGAACTGATCCACAAACTTAAGCACCATGTAAATACTTGTCATTTCAAAACCCTGATCTGGGAGTCATTTGTTACACAGCATGGCTGACACAAGGAATGCACCCAGTGATTGTCCTGTGAGGTGAGTGGGGACTTGAGGGCAGGAGAGCAGGAGAGCTGTTGCCATGGGAGTCAGAAGAAGAAAGTGTTTCCAGAAGGGAATTGTATTGATGCTGCTCAGGTCAAGGAAGCCAGTGGTGGTCAAGTACTCTAGAAGTCTAGGAGTTTCTTTGACCCCTTGCCTGTTCTTGCTTTCTGTCATGGAATCTTGTTGTCTCTACCTGAATTCTTAAGCACTGCCAGAGCCGTGGGTCCAATCCGCCACTATTCCTTACCCAAGTCTCTGCAGGAGCCTCCTTGTTTGTCCTCTTCTTTCTTTTGTTCACTCTGTCATATCCTCATAGTACTCCATCTATCACCCTCTGCTTAAATGCCACAAGCAGTATGCTTAATACTTGCAAACTTCTTACTTGGTTTACAAACTTCTGCTGTTTTGTCTTCCTTGTTTTATTTCCCTCTGCCCCAATCCACTGCCTTCTAGCCCCAGGGACCTTATTTTAGGTTCTTGGCCAAGCTAAGCTCATTTCTACCTCAGGGCCTTTGCACAGGGTATTTTCTCTGCTGTGGATTCTCTATTCCTCTTATGAGTGCACAGCCGGCTCTCTTTTATTGTTCGGCTCAATGTTACCACCTCAGAGAGCTCTCTTCCTTGAGTTGAAAGTTAGGTCACTATCTTGACTTGCATTCCTGGAAGAGCTTTGGTTTTTAATTCTTATTTATTCAGCTTTGTTTGTGATTTTACAATAGAATGTGAAGTCCTGAGCTCAGGAGCCTGGTCTATGTGGGTCAAGCTGAATGCCCAGTGTCTAACACAGAGCCTGACCCATGGAGGACGCTTAACCAATGTTTGTTGAATGAATGAAAATCTAGAAGAATTTCTCTAGAGCCCTGTACATCTATAGGACAAGCAACTCAAGACTGAACCCAAAGCTCTCTAGTGCCTCATCTTGACTGCATTTTGTATTTAAGTAATTAAGCCTCATCTTTACTACATTTGGCACTTAATCAATTAAAAGTGACTTTACTAAGAAAAGAGGAGAAGTCAAGGTGCCATTCAATAATCTAGAGGATACCACAGGCACATTCATTTGGCCCAACATGGGCTTTTCTTTCTTTCTTTAAATAAGGTAGGCACTGAAAAAAAAATTAGGAGACTCACATGAAATCCTAGCTTTCTGATTTCTCTTGAAGAGTCAGAAGGTTTGGTCACAACTCCAAGCCTACATTCCAACAGCAAGCATTAGACTAGAACTGGGCGCCATATTGCTGGGGGCTCTAGGCTGGTGTCATCAGCGCCCCCTGCAGGAGCAACGCCGACATGCACATGCTATCTTCTGGCATCTGTATTTAGCATCTGTGATTTAAAAACTGTCATCCTGACCGCTGCATGGTGGATCTTGAGTGAGTTTTATTTTCCTGTTCTCTTGTGTTTGAATCTTCCATCTCAAACATTTCCACGGTACCCATGCTTACTTTATAATGAGAATTGATATGATTTTTTATGAAAGGATACACTACCCACTGGCAACACACATTGTGCATGAAATACCCAGATAAAATGAAACTCAGAGCCTCTGCTTGCTGTTCCTCCAGAAACCCCACGGGTAGCAATTCATTCTCTTTTGCCTTTTGGGATCAGGGTCCTTGGTCCCAATTTATTTGTAGGCTCTGATTCTTAAATACACGGCTTTGCCCACAGCAAGGCACACTGGTTCTATTGCAGTAAAAAATAAGGCAGAAGCCAAAGGATTCTGGGCCTGAGGCAACTTGATGTCTCGCTTTATTCTAAAACAAGTACCAGGAGAAAATTTGAACAACCCTAAATAAATTGGGAGTGTCTTTTGGAATTTCCTGGGAGGTCATTTATCTTAGACTCTCTAGGAAGCTGTGATTAAAGCTGGTCTTGGAGCACAGGCGCCTCCCAAGTGTTGAGCACACTGCTGTGCACTGGAGAGACAGTCTGTGGCTCCAAGGTGTAGCTTCTGCTGCACACTGGCCACAGGGAAAGACGTTTGCCAGTGACCTTTAGCCAACGCACTGGTACCACGTGCAATGGGCACACTGGAGGTGATGTCCCTGAGCTCCGTTCAGCTCGGTGGAGGTTGAGGGTGGGGCTGTCAGGGGGAGCCTCTGAGCAAGCTTCAGAGAGGAGGTAGTGCTCAGATGGCCCTGGGGACTCGGAAAAGCTGGCTCATGCAGTGACAGTGGGGCTGTGAATAGTCACAGTGAGAGAGCAGAGAGTGGCCCGAGTGACCAGTTATTGTCTTACCCAGAAGGTTCGTTGTTGACCACTTGTGGTAACAGCCACAGAAACAGCACCAGTGGTACTGAGCTCTTACGTGGCTCAGCACCACGGGAATGATAATGCTACTGATTGGGCAGTTCTTTTCAGCGTTTTCTCCTCTAAACTTCCCAATGCCTTATCATGTGGGGATTAGCATTACTATCTCCATTTCATAGATGGAAAAAATGAGGGGCAGAGAGGTTCAAGACTTGTCTAAGGTCAACCACTAGAAAGCAGAGTTGAGTTCAAAGTGCAGGTCCTGGGTTTCTAACCTACACTTGTATTCATTTACTTATTAGGTGGTACTAGGATTTGAATTCAGAGCTTTGCACTTGTAAGGTAGGTGTTCTAGCACGTTCCACTCTGGTTATTTTGGAGATGGAGTCTCACCTTTTGCCTAGGCTAGCCTCAATCACGATCCTTCTCCTTTAAGCTTCCCACCATCACACCAGGCATGACCCACTGTGCCCAGCTATTGCTTTAGATAGGGGGTCTTGTGAACTATTTGCCCAGGCTGGCCTCAAACTACAATCCTCCCAGTCTCAACCTCCCAAGTATCTAGGATTACAGACATGAGCCACCACACCTGGCTTCTCATCTCCCTTTAAACTAACCACACCTGCAAGTTTTGGTAGACAAGGAGGTAATGAATATGGCCGCCCAGCAGAACCAGCTGGGTTTCTACTGGAGACAGACAGGAAACCTGCCTGTGTTTCCAGATTTTCAGGGAACAATACAGTTCCTTTCTTTTCTCTCTTCCCTCCCTAAGAAGAAGGAAGAGTGGAGCCAAGAGGGACAGAGGGGGGTGAGGTACAGTTACAAGAGACTAAGACTGAAAATGAATTTTTTTTGCTATGTTGGAAGGAGGTGAGAGGAGAGGAGAAGGGATAATGAGGGCTAGGAGAGTGATTAGAGGTACTTCTGGGAATCTATTCTAAGGAAATAAGCAGAACAGAGAACGAGAGAAAGGATTTCTGCAAGAAATGATGCCCATTCATCAGAACGTCATTTACAATGGCACATTAGTGACAAGAGCAACAGTAATGGGACCGGATTAAGCAAACCCTGGAATCTCCACTCGGTGGAATACAATATAGAGGCATTAAACAGGATTATGACGAGGGAAAACTGAGAGCGACCTGGGGAGAGGATGGGGAAACAGGAATTCTAAATTCTTGCTGCAAGATGTAAATATCCACAATGCATGTCGCTGGAGGAGGGAAGACGCACAAAATGAAAACAGCTGCCTGGCTGAGGGACAGGGAGAGAGGGGAGGGCATCACGTTGAATTATTTCCCCACTGCTCTTTCACCCATAGGTTCTAGAACCTTCTTCCTTGAAGCATCAACCAGTACCCGCTCGTGGGAGGTGAGAGGACACCAAGGAATGGTTGAACATTTTAAATCATAGCTCTGCCTTTTAATGACTTACTGAGTTATATTTTTAGGTACAATAATAACATTACAGTTATATAGTTTTTTTTTAAAAAAAGGAGTTCTTATTTTTCAAAGATACCTCTTAAAATATTTATGGCTGAAATGATATGATGTCTGGAATTGGTTTCAAACTGATCTGAGAGGAGGCAGGAAGGAGGCAAAGGGAACAATGAGACAAGATCGGGCCCGAGGTTGATAATTGCTAGGGCTGGGGTGATGCGAACACCATTTTGTATATATTTGACATTTTGCACCATGGAAAATACAAAAAGAATGTATTTCTTCCATGGTTTCCTTTCATTAAAGACAAACACTGGTGTACACTGACGTGATGTAAGGCTTCCTCTAAAAACGTGCAGGTAGCATAAAGACCGAGTCAAGGAGAAGATGATTGGGGTAAATATTAGAGCTGGTATTCAGCTCAGGCAAGAAATAAAGCCACATGTCTGAAGCAATGATCTGGGGACAAAGGGAGAGAGGGAGAAGCAGGGGTGGAGTTGCAGCCCCCAAAGAGGGGAGGACTCTCCTTGCACCCCAACTTCCTGCCTGCTTGGACCTCCATGCCTCCCCAAAACCCCAGCTCGGTCCCCGGGCTCACCTGCAGCTGTTCTCCCCATCCGTGTGCAGTGATGACTCAGCCCGTCGCAGGCCCAGCCGAGCAAAGGAGTGGTACAGGGTGAGCATCACGTCGCTCAGGCTGTTGACGCCATCGGGCTCATCATAGACGTTCTCCCAGTAGGAGCGGAGGCCCGGGGTGCCCGCTGGGTAGTTCCCATACAGGTAATAGTCCAGCTGCCCGATGATCTCCTGATTGACCACAGCTTCGAACTTTCGGGCAAAGAAGGTTGGCCGGGCTGTCTGCTGTGCTCGGAGATTAAACAGGACAAAGGCACATGAACGTGTGATGGGGAGACCCTCACCCTTGTCTCATGGTGAGGAGCAGGCGCTGCCTGCTTGGACCCAAACTCCAGCTCTGACACTCGCTGACCTCGCGGTAAAGGGGGTCAGAATGGGGGCGTGATGAGGACCGAATTAGTTAGTGTCTCTAAGGTATCAATGGTGGCCACTCAGCAAGCATCATTCAAAAGCCTGATAATAAATAGGTGCCTCCGTGCTTATAGTTGGGATGGGGCTCGGAAATTGTTCAGGGATGGTCACAGACTCGAAAGCTAGAGCAAATGCAGCCTGCAGGTGTATTTGAATTGGCCAGGAGAATGTTTTAGGATCAAATTAGCTGTCGATGTTTAAAAAATGAGAGTCATGGAAACAATTTCTGGCTTCTCTGGATACAGCCACCCATCTAGCAACCCCAGATGTAGGAACAACTGCTTAAAGTAGAATAATAGCCATTCCTTTAGACAAAACACGGGCTCTTCACCACAGTCCCCACCACTCCCTAGTGCCTCCCTGGAATTTCAGCTGACTATAAACTGACCCAGGATGTTCCAGATTTACTGATCACAATCGCCATGAGTGGGGCTCTGGGACTTAGTATTTTTAACTTTCCAGATGACTCTGAAGGAAGACCTACACACTGACCTAACTAACTCCATTTTGTTTCCCTCTGACCTGTTGTTTTCTGAGTCATTGTTTCCCTCAGTTTATCTCAAACTCCAGGATCACAGGACTGATAGATAAACAACTGTGATAGAAACTGAAACTACTGCTGCCCAACCCCCCAGCCCCAGGATAATAAGCCATCAGGCTGTGCCCAATCAGGGATGCCAGACACATGGACCCTCTGGCCTAGGCCTTTGTCCCTTCCCTAAATAAATCCCACGCTACTGTTAGCACCTGGAAGACACAGCTGCTGTTGCTAGACCTCTCTCTTCTTCCCAGTGTGGCCACACTAAGGACAAATTCCTTTCCTGATCTCACCATCATTCAGTTTTTTATTTGGTCTTTTCAGGAACGTGGCTAGACCTGGTCCATTGGGACCCCCAGAGCCAGGCCTTCAGCCACAACCCCAGTCATAATTCACTTACTCACTAAGGCTTGAGGACATGAAGTGACACCAGAGCTGGCTGCTAATCAGAGCCACTGGAACAGCTTTTAAAAATTCAGATTGTTATGTCTTGAGACCGACTACTGAGTGAAGCCCAGGAATGTGTATCCAAAGACTTTCCACATGAGTATTATACAGTGTTCGAAGACTATGACATAAACCGATCACTCAATGAAGTACGCCCAGAGAGGGACAGAGGCTTATTAACAGACACACAGCACGTCAGTGGCAGGGCGATACCCTCTACCGGATCGGATGGCTACGAACCCCAGCTATTTCTACTGGGTCACTCGAGGACTGAGCTAGTGACTACATCAAAAGCTCCTGGGAAGAAACATCTTTGCCTTTGTCTTCAAATCTCTCAGCTTCACGAGCCCTGGGAACTCCTCCTGGTGGAGGGCACTGGATGGAGCCAGCCCACCTCAGTTGAGGTGCTCTGCTACTTTCTAGGTGTGTATGACTTTGGCAAGTCACCCAAGCGCCCCAGCCTCACTTTCTCATCCCTGAATCAAACCTAGCAGCTCGGGTTATCTGTGCATTACCTTATGATGGCTATCATTACCACTTCATTTTGCTACCAGGTCCCTGTCTCTACAGGGACCTCTAAATCTTCATTTCCTAGAGGCAGAAAGCCAGCTCAGTGCAGCTCAGCCTGCTCTCTCTGCCTGAGGTTCCCTGACCACGGCCCATTCTCCTCAAAGGACACATTTCTATATTTATCGTCTCTTCCTCCAAGGTCCTGTTCTATAAGGACTCCCAGTTCCTTCCCGGCAGCGGCTTTGTGCTTCTAGATGTTGGGGGAGTATTCTTGATCTCTGTTTACTGTGAAAGAAAGAGCTGGGAGCACGTGACATGGTCACTAAGTTAGCCAGACCACATCAGAGACCATGATCTCCTCAGGGTTCTGGGGCTAGAATATACAGGCTGCCCCCCAAGGCAGCCTGGGGGAAGCAGCTCTCTGGGATGCTTGCTGTGGAGGCTGGAGCACCTCTGCAGCAAGGGTCAAGGTGGCCCTCTGTGAAGGTGGGTGTCCTATTATTTCCTTCTTTTCAATAGTCAGACAGTCACACACCCTGGTAGCTCTCTGCTCAGCAGTTCCTTTCTGCATGGGCAGTGGAGAGCCAAATGTCACCCAATCTCAACATGGTTTGATGGGGGTGGCTGTCAACCCACCACCAAAAATAGACCTCAAAGAAGCTGCATTGCAGGAACTGTTTAGTTCATTCACTAGGTGGGAACGTTGGAGGACATAAAGGACAAGATGAAAGCTCTGTGTATCCTGCACCAGTGTAGGTACCCAGGTGGCACCAGGGTTAACAGAACATAAACAATCTGGAGTCAGCCCTACCAAATTTACTAGCTGCAAGGTGACAGGCAGTTAAGTTTTTAAAAAATTCCCTCTGTGCCTCAGTTTCCCCACCTGAACAAGAGAAGGGCTATCCACCCCAGTGAAGGCAGTGTCCACAGAGGGTCCAGCAAACAGGCTGGGACAACACAGATCAAGCACAATGGCATTCCAGCCACCTGGGGGACCTCTTCATGGTCCTCATTTGATTCTGACTCTGTGGGCGTAGAGAGGGCTGAGCCTCCACATTTGGGATAAGCTCGCTGGTGGGGGTGGTGACGCTGGTCTGTGGCCTCGCTCTGAGCAGTCTGAGAGCATGCAGGCAGCATATGTCCCATGTCCTCCCCTGGCTGTTTCGGTTGCATGCCAGGGCGAGGGCTCAGGGCACCTTGGCTGGGTTACCGACCTACACTATGGTATCAACTGTCCCAACCATGAACCCAGTTAACACTTTGAGGAGCGGCACATGGTCTCCACAGGGCTACTCCCGAGACCTCAGCCTGACTTGTCTGGACATTTCCTGTGCTCTGCAGCTGGGCCTGAGTGTGGTGAGGGGCACAGGAGGAAGCACAGAGACCCCTCCCCTCCCAGTCACCATGCTGGTCCAGACGGAGCAGGGCAGGGGGACAGGAAGAGATTACATCTGGGGAAGGACCTGGGCCTCGAGGCAAGCTGAACCTTTCCCCCTGCTTGCCTTGGCGCTGCTCAGAGCACTAAATTGCCAGGCTGTGAGGACACGGCTGTGAAGGTGAAGACATTTCTTCCTCTTTTTACTCCTTCAAGTTCACCGAGCAAGGTGGCTCCCCAGCTTGAGTGTTCATCAGATTCTTCCAAAGTGCATCACAACAAAATACTTTTCTGGACCTGGCTAGAGACCAGTAGTTCTCAACCTAGGGCCAGTTTGTCCCTAGGGCATACCACGCCATGTTTGGAGACAGTTTTTGGTTGTCACAGCTGGAGAGTGCTACTGGGGTCACACTGGCAGAGGCCAGGGATGCTGTTAACATCCTACAGTGCTCAGGGGGCCTTACAGTCCCCAACAGTCCAGTTACCATGTGAGGAGTGCTGGTTGAAAAGCTCTGCCCTCCGTAGATTCAGTTTCTACCCAGAGAGGTATACACTGTATAGCAGAAGCCTATATCTGTATATATTTGGCAGTACTAGGGTTTGAATTTAGAGCCTTGGGCTTGCTAGGCAGGTGTTCTACCACTTGAGCCACAGCCATTTTGCTTTGGTTTCTTTTCAGACAGGGCCTTGCTTTTCATTTTATCTTGGATGGTGATCTTCCTTACCTATGCTTCCCATGTAGATGGGATTACAGACTTGTGCCACCATACCAAGCTTGTTGGTTGAGATAGGACCTCACTAATTTTTTCACTGGGCTGACCTCGAACTGTGATTCTCCCAGTCTCTGCCTCCTGAGTAGCTGGGATTACAGGCATGCACCACCCAGAAATTTTAACAGATATGCCAAGGGAGTTGTGATTGAAAGGCAAAACAGAAAAGCAGATAGAATGGCCCTGGAAATGAATACCTTGGGCCACATGACCTTGGATATAAGGTTTGTGACCTTTCTATGCCTCAGTTTCCCTGTCTTTAAGGTGGAATAATAAGACACATATAAGGTTGCTGTGAGGTTAATGAGTCAATACAGGCAAAATGGTTCAAGCAGCCCTGGCACCGAGTAAGTGCTCAGGGAACACTAGTTAGTGATTGTGCTGTCTTGTTACCAGTTGGTTACACACTGAAGGACAAGACAATCTGTAGGACCTGTAGCCCCTGGAGGCCTGCAGTGGTTTGCTGGGCAGGTGTGGCCTGGGGCTGGCAAGCTCGGTGGGCTCACCTGGAAGCGGTGGAAGTCCTGTGGCTTGAAGTCGTTGGGGGAGCAGCCGCACCAGTCCACGATGTGCTTGTACTGGCACCTGCAACCCAGCTTGCGGTTCCAGTTGGTGACACGCAGGTTGTTGTCCACCATGGTGTCACAGTGGGGGCTGTTCTCCAGGACCGTATGGAAGAAGGACTGCAGAGGAGACAGGGGCCAGCCTGAAATCTCTCCCCGCCTCCCCTGAGTACATTGAGTGTCGCTTCCTGGGGACCACTGGCTGCAAAGGGATTCTCTTGGAGACCCACCTGCAGATGGGGTCAGCTTCCAGGGTGGTCCAAACTCAAGTATGTGCTTTGTCCTGAATGGCTAACTTGCTGAGAGGTTGGCTGCCCTGAGCACTGTCTTTTCAAGGGTCTAGAATCTGATGTCAAGGCACCTCAGTGTCACCTTTGTGTCTTTTCAGCAGACAGGAAGAGTCTGTCAGAGTTTGTCAATGCATGATGCCAGAGCAAACATAGGGACAATTTCCCAGGATACCTTGGGCCACAAGACTCTTGCTTTGCAGAGTCAGTTTTGAAACAAACAGGCACCAAGTCTGAGATAGCCTGGTAACAACGAATATGCTACAATTTCACCCCTGAGTGAGGGAGGCCCAATTCATGGACCCATCAAGACTGAGGTCCTCACCTACCTTAGTCACTCGCAGTGTGACCACACACAGGGAAGGGTAGAGTGGAGCTGGTGGCTGTCCATGGTGCTGAAGCAACAGCCAACTGCTCCCAGACTGTGTGGCTACAAGGCAGGGATGCATGGACTGCTCACTGTCCATGATACTGAAGCAGGAGCTATTACACTCACCAAGGCATGATGCAAGGATACAAGGGAAGGGCAGCTGTGCTGCTGTCCATGGTGCTGGGCCATGAGCCATTGTTTCTCCCTAATCCTAGGACTTTTGGCCAACCTCTCCAAGGACCTTGAGAAACAAGCAAGGTTGGGAGTGAAAAGAAAGACCAGAGAGGAGACACAACGGCTGGAGCTGCTGGGATATTGAGACAGAGGTGGAGAGAAAGAGAGAGGCTCCTATCTCACTGCTGTTAGTAACAATTCCAGCCATTGGGGAGCAGCTTCCCCTGCTCTCTGGTCCCCAGAGGGACTGGAGAATATGGGTCTGCTGTTACAAATTTCTGGACACAGTCTTCAGATGTCTTCCAAACCAGTCCCCTAGAGGTGTCAGGGAGGGCCACATAGAGACCCTGGGGACAAGCAAGTATGTGTGTTGGGACAGTGAAGGGGAAGTGAGCTTCGGCCACCAGCAATATAGTCAATGTCTTGATGAAGACAACCAAACTCCAAAGAATTTCTTCTAAATGGGTGAGTGGGCAAGATAAGGCTCCACACACCACTTCCGGCTGGGCGTCCTGTGATACTAAATGACATGTCAGTAAACCTGGAGATAAGTCTGAGTTATCTCAAGCCCATGAAGGCACCTATTCTCCACCAAGCCATGGGAAAGTGCCCTGTGTCGCTTCACAATGATGCAGAAATTCCCAGAAGATAATGGATGAGCAGGTTATCAGAATTGAGAGAAAAGGTGATTTTTTACTGAAACAGGATAAAAAGCTCATTACTTAACATGTGTGCAGAATAGTAAAACCCAGCCCAGCAATGGCAAGTTCCCCACCCTGGTTGGTCCCCACCCCACCCTGGAATGATATGGAAACCACCAAATGGGATGCACTGTCTGGTCTGATTTGGAGGTGCACTGCCTGTGTGGTCCAGAGTTGGGGACCCAGCCATGGGAGGAACAGTGGACAGTTCATAAGAAATGTCACAGGCTCACTGGAAAGGGAACCAGTGCTGGAGTTTTCTGAAGTGGGAAGTTCCAGTGGACGTGAACTGGAGGTCAGAGAGATGAATCTAGAAGCTCTCAGCAAAGACATGACAGGAAGGCTGCTGGCTTGGTTCAAACAGGAGGACACCCTTTTCATTTCTAGATGGGTCTGGACTGATTTAGAATGGTGTGCGATCTTATGCAAGGGGTTTCCCATCCTTAGGTTAGAAAAATGGTTTTGGGTCCCCTGCATGCTTTCCAATACTCCCAACAGGAAATTCTGAGCTCTGAGCACTTGGCCAGAGTGGCTGACAAGGAAGAGGGTCAATGTAGGAAACCGTGCTTGGCTGTCTCTGGGATCTCTTGGATTTATAGGGTATGACCAACAAAGCCAACACTATTTTCTATGAAGAAATGATTGCCATGTATTCAAGTAAGGAGGAGATCACTGATGTTGAAAAGGTGCTTATAACATGAGGATCTGTCACAAGTTCATGTGGAAGAGTCAGCATATACAGTTGTGCAAGACGCACACTGAACAATACAAGCTGGCATTGTCAACACTGTAGACGTTAGAGGTTTGTAATTTTTAAATAATTTTTTTCTAGAAAATGACAGTAAAGTGTCATGTTCTAAGAAAATCAGTATATTATCTTTTTTTATGACCAACAGGGCTGCGTGTCTTTAGCAAAGGCTGCCTTTTCTATTCGTTGGTGACTACACTGTATTGGCTACTCATAGCCTCTATGCCGGTTGGAGGGGGACCAGGGAGCATACAATGACAACCAGGTCTCTCTCTCTTGAGGAGTCCCTCCTTTCACTCACCTCGGCAGGAAGCAGCGTGTAAGCATAGAACTGCTTCATCTTGGTCACCAGATCGTCTGTGGAGAATGTCACATACTCCACAAACTTCCTGTTCAGCAGGAACCAATCTGAGCCACCGTCCACCGCAATGCCCTCTGGGATACGCCGGTCGCCCAGACGCCACATGTGGGCATCACACTCGAGGAAGAGCCGGTCCAGACCTTGCTTCCGGATGAACCTGAGTTACACAAGGTACCCCTGAGCTCTGAGAAGGGGGAACGCCACACAGAGCCCAAATGACACATCACAGTCACACCGGTATTTACTGAGCACTTGCTGTGTGCCAGGTGCTGAGTTGGGGGTGCTGGGTATCATTTATCTCTTGTTCTTCACAAGTGAGGTGGGGCACTCTGCCCTATGGGCAGGTACTGTTGTTACCCCATTTACACAGGAGGCCACTGAAGCTCAGAGCTCAGGGGACTTTGCACCATCAGGTGGCAATGGCCACCAGCCACCTTTACGTCCTCTCCAGAGCATGTTCCAAATAGGGTTTTTGTGCCACTGCTGCTGGGGCTGTTCAGCCTGTGAACTCACCTTAGCCAGTGTTCTTAAAAGTTTGCACCAAAATATACAGGGTTACAAAGCTCTAGAAAGCCCTACCAAAGTTACCATATTGTAATATATGTACATTTTTTGGAAGTACTTGAATTTGAACTCAGGACTTCATGCCTGCTAGGCAGGTGCTCTATCATGTGAGTCATACCTCCAACCTGTTTTGCTCTGGTTATTTTGGAGATAGGGTCTTGCTTTTTGCCCAGGCTAGACTGGATGGTGATCCTCCTATTTTAGGCTTCACACCATCACTGGGTGACAGGCAAGTGCCACCATGCCCAGCTTTTTTCCATCAAGATGGGGTCTCGTGAAATTTTTTTGCCTGGAACTGCAGTCCTTCCCATCTCAGTCTCCCACATTGCTTGGGATGGACAGGTGTGTGTTATTGTGCCCAGCTCTTGGTTGAGATGGGGTCTTGTGAACTATTTGCCTTGGCTGGCTTCTCCCAAGCAACTGGGATTACAGGCGTGAGCCACCAGCACCTGGCTTGTACTTCTTTTATCATTATTATTTTGTTTTGCAGTGCTGGGGATGGAACCCAGGGCCTGTGCGTGCTAGGCAGGCAATCTGCCCCTGAGCCACACCCTGCCACATGTCCTTCTGAATTGCACATTCTATACAGAATCACAAAATATTTTGAAGATACCCAAATTCATGACGGTGCAAGGTTTCTTCATTAACACTTTACATAACAAGCTATGGTGGCAGGACTAATGACTACTGTGAATTTGAAGAAGCAGTATGAGCAGAAGAGATGTTTAGAGGTATTCACACCACTGCAGCATGATACGAAGATACAGATTCTTACTGGGGACAGTCAGTTACTGCTAGTATTACTGTGGTTTGGTGCCTACATTCAGTTAGTTTGAATTTGGTGGAAATAAAGATATTATTTGGTTCCCATTCAAGGTCATGGACCTCCCAGGTTCTCCCCAAGAACAACCACCCCCCACCCAGATTGACTGCTAATTCCTACTGCAGTAACTAAACATAGGCATAATCACCTCATTTAGGACTGTGCGAGGCAGACAGGGTAAAGTCATAGCCACAGAGACCAAAGCTTCTCAGCTCAGAGCTGGTGAAGTGGAGTGCACAGAGCTAGAGCCAAGTCCTCTGCCCAGACTTTTAGTTCATTCACATTGGACACAGCTCCTGTGTGCCAGGCTCTGCAGTGGGCAGGGGGCAGGAGCAAGTAGAAGTAAAGGTGATATCTATCCCAAGGAGCTAGTTATCAAGGGGCCAGTTTACAGCCCAGAGGTCTCCTGACACAGGATCTCCCTGTTCTGCAGCTCACACACGTGAGGCTGGAGTTTTCAGGCTCTCATAAACAACGCTCTTGCTTGAGTCCTTCTCTGCATTGTCACCCTCACAATGTCCTTCCTCCACATGCCTGCCAGCCCACACAGCCTCCTGGTCCAGGCTTTAGTATCTGTGAAGGGCTCTCCCCAAGCTGGGCATCTTTGAAAACTCTCCCTTGGTATAATTGCAAAGTTGGGTTTAGGCCTAGGTTGTAAGGTGAAATACTTACAGGAGTCACGCTGATCACAAGGCTGTGAAGTGTGATGAGTATAAGACAACATGTGGAGTGGTGAATCTGACTGTAGAGAGTGCTCACTCTGGAAGCACTTAATTCCTTTAACAAAGTGTTTCTGGCTGGGCACAGTGGCTCACACCTGTAATCACAGCTACTTGGGAGACAGAGATCAGCAGGATTTTGGTTCAAGTCCAGCCTGTGCAAAAGCTAGCAAGACCCCATCCCAATCCATAAAACTGGGCATGATTTTTGGGTATGCCTGTCATCCAACTACATGGAAAGTGAAAATAGGAGGACTGCACTCCAGATAACAATGTATGACCCTATCCCCAAAATAACAAAAGCAAAAGGTCTGGGGGGTGTGGTTCAAGTGGCAGAGCACCTGCCTAGCAAGCAGGCCCTGAGTTGCAACCTCAGTACCACAAAAAAGTGTTTCTGACTAAATACAACATATTTCTAGGCCAAGTCAAATTCCATCTGTGATATTCTGTAAGTCACTCTGCTATACCTAGGAAGAGGGTCTGGGGCAGATATGCAGGTGTACAAAGAAGCCCAGAGAGGGGTGATAACTTTTCCAGAGACACACAGAGGCCTCTCACAAGGGTGGAAACCATCAGGAGACCAGGTGTCCAGCAATGCTGGTCTTATTCTTTTCCTAACACATCTTTCCACATGGAAATTCCAAGGTCATGATCAAAATCGTGTTCTCAGTGGGGAGGGCTCGGTGAGGGTTTTCCTTATAGCCACAATATTACCCCAATAGCAACAAAAGTGGGCCATAAAAAGACCCTGAATTTAGGAAAATCAAACTCTACCTCACCTCTGGCTGGTGCTCATTATGCAGTAGTGTCCAGTCAGGGAGATCGCCAAGCAAGACTTTAAATTTCAGATAGCTTATATGAAAGTATACATGATTCGGAAAAACAGAAAGACAGGGGAGGAGAGGGAGTGGGAAGAGGAGAGATGAAAGAAGGAGGAGGAGGAGAAGAAGAAAAGGATAGAGAGAAGAGAAAAGAGAGAATGAAAACATACAGGTGAGGGGACTAGCAGATTTTTTTCTCCCATGGTCCAGACTTTAAATTTCGTGCTCCACTCTATGGGACAATAGCATCATCTTGCAATTTTAACGTGATGTCCCCAGCCATAATATTCAAATACAATATTTACTTAGTCATCTCCAAAATGAAATATTCATGGTGTCGGGAGATTGCACTTTATATTTACTGCATTCAAAACTGGATAAGCTGCAAATATATGCTTTGGTTAATTATGAGTAAATACAGATGAAGAGTTTCTCTGGTCTCAGAAGTTTCTGGAGTGACAGGGTCTGCTGAGGACCTTGTTTTCACTTGGAAGAAGGTGGCGGAGGTCCAGAGTCTATTATCAACCCAAAGAGAAGACTCAGCTGTTTGGGCTTGGATTTGCTTCCCCCACACCCCCCGACCTGTGCATTCACCATAACCTGGAAAGGCCAATTGGAAGGCCAGGTAAGTCAGCAGACACATCTGGGCATGTCGCTCATAGATGCTGCTCTCCAACAGGGGGTGCCTGGCTTTGCCCTAATGGATGGAGCACAGCTGCGCAGCCATGGGTCAATACAAAGATGCGCTCTTTCCCTCAGTTCCATGTCTCATTGCCATGGTTACCTTGGGCATCTGGGAACTAGGAGGTCCCATAGCAGAACAGGCACTGGGCAGAGCCAAGTACAAATCCTGTCCCTACATGTCAGGTAAGCCCTGTCCCAACAACTTCCCAAATCAAAGAAGTGAAGATGGCACTCCTCCAAGGGCTCTGGAAAATGTTTAGGAAGTGATGGTCACCCAGCCAATGATGGTCACCATCATCAGTCTCTTCTTATGCAACAGGGATGTCCTTCTCCCACGCCTGATAAGCTAGACCCTCCTTTCATGCTTTTTACTTTCTAACAGAACTCACTTATGTCTAGTGAGTACTAGTACTCTTTGTACTCACTAGACATAAATCCGAGATGGCAGAGGTTTTTATTCACTGCTGTACCCCTAGAATAGTGCTTAGCATGCAGGAGGTGCTCAGTAAATGCTTACTAAATGAATGAATAAAGGGAAGAGTAACAGCCACAGCTGTTGGGCAAGCAGGAAGTCACAGAAATTAGTAACCAGGTAGCCAATTTTTCTAACACATTTGACAAACAAAGGAATAGAACCTCATAAGGTTAAGGAATTTCCCCCAAGTCACACAGCCAGATAGAAGTCCTAGACTTGAATCCAGGTCTGGCAGAATCCAATGCAAGCTCTTTACTCTGCATTCTAGGTTGTCCCAAGTCACCTTTTGGGTCCCTCCAAAAGGGACAGAAACAAAGGATTTGAGAACATCCACTTTCTCAAAAAGACAGTGGCCTGAAATGAAGAGAAATAAGAGAAAAGCTCTTTGTGATTTTTGGAAGAGGTTTCTGATGACTTTATGAGGACTTCTGCCTTCAGAAGAGGACCTGATGTCAAAGGTGGAGTCACATACATTAATTTTATTTCTAGGCTCTGAGGAATTGGTGTCTTACCTTCCTGAGATTTCTCTCTCTGAGTGGGATGATATGGGATTTCCCAATATGGGATGAACTCACAGCTAAACAGGATTGCACAGGGAGTCACAGGGACCAAATGTACCAGTTGAGCACGAATGTATGTCACAATAGAGGGTCCTAATTAAGTCAGAGTGGAGGGGGTCTGACTGCCTCCACAGGAGAAGAGGTAGTGAAGAAAGCTTCTGGGGTCTTTGGAAAGGCAGATGATGAAGGAGTATCTCAATTCTGTCAATCCCCTGCTTAAAATATTAGCATACTCAAGCGTGGAATTGCTCCAGAACGACTCCCATTATGAGTTCTAAAAGGAAGAAGTCTGACCCTTAGACTCTACAATATGTCTGAGCAAGGAGGAGTCTTAGCTATTAGTTAATACAACCAACTATACAAGTAACAAAAAAAAAAAGGTAAACCCCAAGACTCAGAGAAGATGAAAGACATATCCAAAGTCCCAGAGCCTAGAAAGAAGTCTCCTATTCTTCCATTTTCCTGTCCTGTGATCTGTGACTGACTCACGTGACCTCTTTAGCCTAAGTAC